TTTAATTTTCTATTTGAATTTAAAAATGCAAAATATAAAAATGCGTGACCATTTTTGAATTTGAAATTGGGAAGTTTAAGCGATTAATCCAAAAWAGCACGGATTTTGTGTTCTTGTTGCGAAAATCGATTATYCAAAATACGAAAACTATCGGTAGTAACAAATTTCTTAATTCTGAGTGTTATCAATTTTCAATTTCTTACCAAACTTCTTTGTTCAAATTTATTGTCAAAATTTCAAATCAAACTTCGAACTGAACGACTACAGTTTTTTTTCGGCTGTGCCAAAATCAAAAAAGTGAAAAACTACAGGTATAGCTCAAAACAGGGGGGTCACTGTCAACATAACATGTCGCTTTGCTCGATCAGTGGTCTATATTCYGACTGACCTTCCGTMGATCGGTGCCATGCCTTCTTACAGCGTGCTATCAAGATACGAAGATATTATTCGGTTGCTAGTAGAAAACGAAAATTACACATATTCTCAGGTGAGATTGTATTTGCTACAAAATTTCGATCTTAGAAGAGGCTGCTCGGAGAGAAATATACAAGAATTTTGCTCTCAAAGGAACATTCATCGATTGGAATTTAGGCGACGTTCATCTCAGCAGATCAACGAAACTGTTAGAGGCTTAGTAAACGAAGTAAGTATCAAGGTCTTGGTTTGATGATAACGTTTTATATTTATATATATATGATATATCCCGTCCCATGAGCATGACACACGAGCATCGATATCAGTTCCCAGCACTATTTATCTTTTTTTGCTTTAGCTGCATTTATTAAGATGGGGAACTGGAAACAAGTCTACTAAATCATTAAAAAAAATTTGGACTCAAATCGAAAGCAAACATGATTTACAACAATTTAAATTATAAGTGCACAACAGAGTAGTTAATGCTTAGTTTGAAACACGATAAAGGGTATTTTAAATTGTAGAATGGAAAGATTTCAAATTCAATTAAAGATTAGTATGTTTTCTTTTCTTTTAGGTTGGCCCTACCTATGGACGTCGCATGTTGACAGGATTGCTTAGAAGCAGGGGGCATCGAATTGGTGAGAGAGCTACCGCCTCTGCATTGCGCGAAATTAATCCTGCTTACCACCGTCATCGTCAAAGAGGAACTGAGAGGCTTAGAAATCCCACACCGTACTACGCAGAATATGCAGGACACAAACTGCACATGGATCAGAACGAGAAACTTGCCGAATATGGATTGACGCATGTTATTGCATCAGATGGTTTTAGCGGGAAAATTGTTGGGGCTTCCTCAATGCCTGTCAAGAATAACATTACAATTTATGATGAAGTATACAGGTAAGATAAATTGGATAAAAACCGTCCTATCTCAGACTTCACAGCAAATTTAAATAATTGGAAATAGAATCAATGCAATTAAAACAATAGGAATTCGGCCTCTTCTTCACGGCGTATAACACCTGATGTTTTAAAGAATTTTGAGCTTTAACACCATCAATGCCCTTTTTATATTTTATGCCATTTTTYAAAGGGCAGCATGCTTGCAGTACGGCATATGGGATCAAGTTCGAGTTGATTATGGCCGAGAGTTCTACCTTGTACTCTACAAACAGGAGTGTCTTCGCGATATGAGGACCAATACCAACAGACAACCGTTTATGCAAACACAATCAAAACAGGTACTTAAATTTTCCTTCCCTGATAGTATAATTATTTATGAGCGTATTGTAATACTTAAAATTTGCATGTTCAAGTGGAAATCACGGGAGTTCGTGCATGCAGACGTTTTGACAATTTGTATATATGGAACCATTCAAGTAAAGATACAGCTATATTTCAGAGAACGTTGAATACACCGCAATGCATTGTTGTTCGTTCTATCGTCGTCCAAAAGGAGTTTTCGTGATTTCCGAGTGACTATACAAGCTTCATACAGGCAAAAACTTCAGCTAACATAAAGTTTAAGAGCAACAATGCATTGCGGTCTTGGAATGCACTATGCAGAATACAGTATTCAGCGTTTTCTGAAATTGCTGTATACAGAAAATAGGCATTGTGTAGCGACACCATCGATGTTGTGTAACAAAGCATGATAGTAGCTGTAGTCCTTAACACAGATTTTTCTATGGAAAATTAAAAGTAGTTTGTGCCATTTCTACAAAGAAAACTTTTAGAGAGATTTTCTAGGGCCTATAAAAAGTGCGAGGACCTGAACTACCATCATGATTTGCTTAGGAAATTGCGTCGCTGCATATTGTCTGTTGCAAAAATAAAGGTTGTCATAGAAAAAATGACATTTGTAKCTTAATAAAAAGAGATAAATAACTGAAAATATAAACAAGCGAAGATTACTAATTTTTTGCAAACTACCGTTGAAAAGACCTCAACTTATTTGCTCTTGATTTTAGAACCATATTGCTGAGAGAGTGTGGGTGGAAGTTAATCACCGTTCAACTTACCCTATGAAAAGGGTTTTAGTAAAYATGAAAGGACGTGACCTTCTGGACATGGAAGACGACTGCTGGAAAGGATGCATGTCAGAGTTTTTGATCTCCGTGTGCAGAAGCTCTATTCAAAATTTAATCGATGCTTGGAATTCTAGAAGCATTCCAGGTATGCGGACCATGTGACTATAATGAACTGACCTTTACTGCGTCTTAAGTAGTAGTTGTATTGATTTTGATAATAATAATAATAATAATAATAATAATAATAATAATAATAATAATAATAATAATAATAATAATAATAATAATAATAATAATAATAATAATAATAATAATATTTTGTTTGTTTCGTAGGCAAAGGAATTCCCAACCTTCGTTTTCAAGCTAATTTCCGGTGTGCGCCAGTGACGCAGTACGATTTACCGAACGGCTACGAATTGAGTCAAGAATACACCCAATTGGGGGGGCAAATAACTGAATTCTCCCCATATGGAAGTGATCCACTTTTGAACGACTTTCAGGCCAAGGAAAACCGCGATCGTCTATTTTTTTCACGTTACGTCTCTTTTGAAAACGTTGCCCATGCAATTGCTAACCACCAAGAGGACGTTTTTGAACAAGCTCTATTGCATTACATAAATCTAACGCTTCACGGATCTTACGTTTGACATTAATTCATTGCTGTTTCAATCTTTTTAGGTAAAATTGGTACAAAAATGTAGTCATGGCTCAAATTTCGCCTAAATGAATTCCATATGGTCAACCTCGGAGAGCTCGCAAACCAGCAGGGTTTGAAGAACGTGTTAGGCACAAATTTCTATTTTATGCCCCTTCCAAGTAAAAAGAGTCTATTAAACATGTATTAAAGGCCCACGCTCATCCAAGAACTTTTCTGCAATTTTTCTTCACTTATATTACGATTGATCACAAAGTATCTTTAAAAAGGGATAATTTGCAAAACAAAAGCTATGATGAAATGATGACGAACCTTGCATTAAGTAGCATTGATATAAGAACCAAACTCATGAAGTCATATTATGCACAGTGTTTTACTGTATCGTACTATGTGTTTGAGTAATAATGACCCCATAATATTTGCTTTTGCGAAGTAGCGCTGTTTTTTTCTGATTAGTATTATATGCAAATTCACTTTGATCCCTGGAATACTTTTATTCTGCAAGGGGAATTTCTTTTCTGTTTTCTTCTAGTTTKTGAAGATTTTGTATCAATGATATAAATCGATATAAAGAAATCTTTGAAAAGATCTGATACAACTCTAAAGCTTTATGCATAAAACACGTGAATCTATAGCAAAGTGCTCAATTTGTATATACGTTATCGTTAAACCAGAAGAAGAAAAAACGCTCCATTTTATTTGACGCCGTCCTGGTGTGAGATGGAGAAAAGAAACTTTATGAGCGGCCGTGTTGTATGGGAACTTTAGAAAAGTCATTAACAATTCATGAGCTGTCTATTTCCTCAGGTGATTGACCTTATAAACACTAGTGTTGTATCAGATTTACAACACGGTCGTCGACAACCCAACACTAGCAATGGTCTGAGTTTTAGTATCAAATCATMGWCCTTCACTAGGTTTTGAAGCAAGTAAATACCGATAGCATCACTCCCTTATCCAAAAGATGGCTTGCTTTTCCATGTGGGATGAATATTATTCAAATATATTAATTATTCAAAATGTTCTCTGTTGCAGTAAATTGCGCATGCTTAATAGAGAATAAACTCAGTAGTTACCTTGTTTGTCTTTTTTCGTCATTTATCACACTATAATTGATGTTATCAAACTCATTGATAATTCATAATGTCATTAGCCAATGATATACGGAGAATCTAATCACGTGATTATACCTTTATATTGGGTAAAAGGTGCAGCAACCTCAAATTTTGGGGCGGCTTTGAATTTTTTCAGGGGAGTGCATGTCTGATTATTATTCAACGTTTTCCTTATACAGATCTGATTAATAAAACATTAGCTCTGTATCATGGGGATGATTCGGATCAGATCTTTATCACCCGATACAACATGCTCTCTTGTTCTGTATACATTACAAGCAATATCAGTTTTATGTTTATAATTCATGTGTCGATGCACTTCTTGGGAAGTTAGGCCTGCTCCGGGTCAGAAAGTCGCCACTTAAGGCGACTTAAGAAAAAATGAGGGTAAATTGGGCGGGGCACTGTGGCAGCTTAAGGCGACTTAAGGAAATTTGGATGATAATTAGGTGGGGTCCCTTGGCGACTTAGTGCGTCTTATGGCGACTTAAGTGGTCTTTAGGAGTCTTAAAGCATCTAACAAATATTTGAATTTCAAGCGTGATATTGTGGCATTCCATTTTCTAGACGGGTTTGATTGTAATATAAATAAAAGATAAAGTAGTGGATGCTACATTGGAGTTGCCTGAGAAGTCAAGAAATCAAAAGTACTGTGCTGTGCTGTGCTGAGCTGTGCTGCAGGTAGCGATTTTTCGCCAATTTTATGCAAAGCATGTAAACAATCGAACTTGAGGATTTCTCGTCGCCATAGAAACTATGTTTAGGAAATTAAAATGGCGGACTCTCAAGTTAGAGCCGCCGAGTTTTTGTCCATATTCGGCTCCCTGTAATTATAGCTAGATCTAAGGAAACTTACTAATCAAGCGCTTTCTTGAATTTTAGTCACGAGATCGAATTGTGCCTTTGAGCATGCTTATCGTTTGCTTGCAATGCTGCCCTCGATCATTAATATTCAAAAAACAGTCGTTGACCCTCTGAACTCTTACTGGTATTATTGGCAGAAGGATTTTGGCATGACAATCTGGTTCTTTCACCTTAGATGAGCATGCGAAGTTTGTCGCCATTCGAGGGTCTTGTTTTGAATCGTTGACAGCAGTTGACGTTTTCCTTTGTGCAGGCATGGAAGAATCGTTACTTGGGCTTTCTTGGTGCAGAATGATGGCGTGTTTTTTGTCACACTTTAGGCTTCTTGGAAAGGGAAGTTCTTGCTTGGTGACCTTTCCTCAAGCAACTGAAGCAAAGGCCTTTCTTTAAGATCACATTTTTCCGTTCATCTATACTTTTGTTTTTTAGTTGTGGACAGTGTGCAGAATCATGTTCCTCTTCACATACAGGACAGGCAATTTTCCTCTCCTGAGGCTTGACTTGAGGTCTGACGGGTACCTTTTGTTGAGTCTGGACAGCAAGAGAGATTGGCATTTGCTTTGGAAGGAGCTGCCTGC